CGTGCCCCGTAGACGATTCTTGCCCGTCAAGACCTGCTCTGACCTGATGCTGGTCAAGTCGGACCTCTACACCCTCAAGCACGGCCAGCTTCAGATGAGCGCGGCCCGCTTCGGTGACGCCCCCCTGATCAAGCTGGGTGGCGACTTCAAGAAGGTCTCGGACTTCCAGAAGCGAATCCCCTCCATCCCTAAGGTGCTGGAGCTGGATCACCTCACCATCACTGGTGCCGTCAACCTCGGCCGCGGCGTGACACTCAAGGGCACCGTCATCATCGTCGCAACAGAGGGCAGCACCATCGACATCCCCCCCGGTTCCATCCTCGAGAACGTCGTCGTCCAGGGCAGCTTGCGTCTTCTGGAGCACTGAGTGGAGAGGAGGCAGGCCTGGAGGGCCATGTTGTAGGTGCCAGTTGGCTCGCTCGTTGGCGGGAAGTTGTTGGAGTCACTTTGATCACGACCTGTCGAGAGTGGATAAAGACGGCTATACGAGGGCACACACAACAATGGGGTGGAAGAGGAGAGTTAATATTGGTGTCATGGTTGAAGAGGAGGCGAGTCTCCCAAGCCTACTATACGCCTGCGGACAAAAGGGCCCGGTAATGGGCGACCAATCGCTTCTGATGACGAGAGATATACTTTGCGTATGTACGTACTTGGCAAAACAGCAATAGCTCGTTACCTTTACATAGGGTACAAGAGCACATTTTTTAATTGAAAAAGGACAATGGCAATTTCTCTCGAAATGAGTGAACGGACATGGTGAAAAGGAGGTGGTGTTTGTTGACTGGACCAGATGGGCATTGACTTTTGGCGGCGGCGGCTTCGACTAACCCAAGCCAACCAACAATCACCCGAAGGTCTATCCTAATGTTGGGATCAGATCTAAATCTTAAATCTTGGAACGGCAAGTTTGGAAACCCGGACTAAAATTGGACGTGGCTGGGGGGGGGGGAGGGAGTCACGAGAGTCGAGAAGGAGGACGAGGCCGAGGCAGTCACTGTAAGACGAAGAAAGGCCATGTGGTGTCTGTGGTGTAGGTCCCCGTCATTTGACTTTTGGAAGCGCCGTGAAACACGAGAACAATTGCATGAAACAAAAGTTACGTCTCGGTAGGGTAGCAGCGGTGGCTGATTATGGCAGACTCGAGATGATGCATGCGGCATGAGTGACGGATGACGGAGGCGTCAAGAGGGAAGCAGGTTTGAGGGTGAGACGAGGGGTGAGGGAGGAGGGAAAGGCTGGGGTTGATGGCCGCAAACGAAACAAAACCAACAATGCCACCATGATAGACACTTGGAGATTACCCGGCTGTATAGCTGCTGTAGAAGGAGATCAAAGGACCTGGATCGACATATTCATAACGCTCTATCGGTGAGGCATTTCAAGGTGATGTTCAAATAGAGCCGAGGTGAGCTAGATAGCTTCAACTGCTGCATGACGAACCAAATGCCGAAGATTTGGTGTAGAGGTACGTAGGTACCTCATGCGGACGTAACCATTGTGGCCATTGTCCAATGCCCACAGCGGGAGGCATTAATAAGGATACTATTATCGCGGTCAGGCCAGGAAGTGGCCCAGTCGCCGATAACCAACAACGCCGAGCGCCCAGCCGGCAGCCCGGCGTTTTGGAGAGATATGTACGGAGTAGGTCTGGGGAGATGATGGGATGGCAGACGGGCCATCCCATCAAGAGAGAGTTGACCAGCTTGTAAAAACCTTGTCCAAGAGCTTGAGCCAACCAGGAATTGTATCCTTTCTACCCAGGTCTAGCTCTCAGAAGGACCCATCATTCCACGAAGCGGCAATGCACGTCGTTGCATGCGGGCGGGGCTGAGGGAGATTGCGTCGCTGATGCAGCCCAACGAGAGCTGGCCGGCCAGTGGGTAGAGACACAGCAAAGAGTGGAGATGAGCAAAGGAGGACAAGGGCCAGTCGTGGACGCTAATGCGGTCTCTAGACCAGGGCGAAAAGAAAAAAGTTGGGGTTCCCGAGCTGCTTGTTCATGATTTGCTCCTTGCTCCGGCTGCGCTTCAAGACTTGAATCCCGGACCACACGTTGGATCGTCGAGTCTCGTGCTTTGTTCGCTTCGATTTGATTTACTTTTTTCTTCGCTTCTTCAGTCTGGGCTCTTTACTGCCAGGGTATCCATAGATCCACGGAGAAGGGCGAGACATGCTGAGAGGAGGATCTGCCCAACGGTGTAGAACTTGTCTGAGAATTGCGCTTTCGCCTCGCCCGGATTTGCTTGACCGTTGCCGTTGGGTGGCCGCCAAGGCCCTGCCTGCGACGCTGATGAGACGCACCACCGAGGCGATGCAGTCGGCTCAATAGTCCTAGCAGTAGCATCAGTAGCTGCCGGCCGTCGGTCTGGTCCCCGTCTGTGAGCCTGCGGCGTGGCGTAGCCAATGCTGTGTGTATAAGGCCATCAGCCGCGGTGGGCGATGCATAGCTGCCTTGTGCTATTGGAATCCGTCTTCATAAACTGCTCAAGTGTGGATAAGCAAACTCTTTTGGGGGCTGTGAATACCACCATTGACGTCAACCCATTGGCTGTTCACGACTTCGAGGCCATCGGCTTTGACTCAAAGAAGAGGTCGCCGAACACCTTGGACACCATCACTCGCTGCTTTCCGACCATCCATCAATCATGCTCCGCCACCAAGCATTGCGTGATGTGATGATGGGAAGAATGAACAAAATAGTAAACATGCCGACCCAGAAACAGCACCAAAAGGCCGACTTGGCCTCGGTGTAAGTTGACGCTAAAGGCGACGAGGCTGTTTTGGAACAAGACTGACGGCATGTGTCACCATCCATTGATCGATGGCATGGCAAAAGGCTGGGGAAAGGGCACCATCAGTCCGGCTAATTATCCGTCTCGAACCAGTTCGATAAAAAGAATGCATCGTACGTAGGCCATTGCGTATGCTGTCTTTGCCCCTCCATCTAGAGGTTCTCGGCATTGCAGAGTTCTTCAAGTCGGGTATGGGCCAAGAAGCAGGATGAAATAATGGATGCGTAGGGCAAGCCCGCTTCTGTCGATGCGCCAATGCCAGAGAAGGGAACCGGCCAGCATGTAAAGATCTTGCATGGAACAGACTGACTGGCGTCTGCATGCTGTGTTGTCTTTTGCCCGTTATCGTTGCTCTCGTTGTTCGATTTTCAGCCCAAGCAACGCAGCCACCCCGCACCATCAAGGCACAACCATCCAACCTAATTCGCAGCTAGACGCACCCACCCGGGAGCTGTTGAGCGCTTGTTGTGTTGACTGAGAAGGCTGGAGACGCTGTAGGCGCTGAATCGACAAGCCATCGAACTCCTGAGCTACCCTGGGGGATATGATTCGAAGAGACCGACAACTTGAACAACGCCCCTTTCATCAACGCTTCCAAGAAACATGAGAGCCATGGCAAGATCCGGTTAAGTGGATTGCAGGGAAGAGAGGCTGCGCAAGCTCGCCATTGGAGCTATCGAAAGGCCAAGGGGGCGATGTCATTAAAGTGCGGCCCGAAGAGGAAAGGTCGGTGCGCTAACGAGATCACATTCTAAAGCGGCAAGCATCCAGACCGCCCATAAGCAACAATCTCTCAGTTATTGCAGGCGACAACGCTGAGATTTCCCGGAAAGTCATCTGTCCAGGACCGTTGGACATGGGCATGGGTGCTGATCCTGTACTCCCCCATTCTTTATCGGAGAAACGTGCAATGTGGACATCGGCAAGGGATGAGCGAGTGAGGTGTAAGAGAGACGACAGCTCGTCCTGCATGTTTGCTACCGTCTCAACCCAAGAAACGGAAGTCATCGGCTAACGTGTCCAAACCAAGACACAACAACAAAGACCTCGCTAGCGTCAGCATGTTGAAAGGCTTGCAGCGGCTACCATTGCTGGTGGTGTACATGTGCCGGTAGCCCAGAACCAGGCTGCAGAACAACGGCTAGCCGGGCAGGAATACCAGCTCCGATCTCCGCCGGAGAGGCGCGGCTAAAGGGACGTACCACCATCAACAGTGCAGTGGACGAGTAAGGCTGGAGATGACCAGAGATCACTTGGCCGCGGAGAGCGAGAGTGGACAGGGCATTTGGCCACCGCTCGTCGGCCAGAATCAAAACTTGATCCAATAACGTCGCGGCAGGCCCGTTCGCCCCCAGGCAAGTATTGTAGCATTAAAGGTAACCACCGAAGGCCAAGAGTTGGTTCAGGGAGACGACTCCAGTTCTGATGGATCGAGAATCAAGGGAAAGGCTGCGTGCTCTGCGCAGCCTGTGGGTGGTGTCGGATGTCGTGGGCCCTCTGGCCGGGCGCGTGCCACTTTTTGGCTGCCAGGCACAGCAACCCTACAGGTCGTTAGCTGGTCCTGCGGCTGGGGTGTCCCTGGACCACGCCCGCAGCAAGCTTGGAGCTTGATCCATAACAGGCATAGCGCATGCATGCTAGACTGGGGCTCACTAATTTCCCCAGCAAGGGTTTGATATCGTCCGTTCTGGTTCGGGGGCTCGGGGGACCGTGGCTGGCCGGCCTGTTGGAGGAATGTGATGATGAAAGGGTTTCTAGCGAAAGTGAGCTGGCCAAGGATAGGACGGACGCTGTACCGAAGCATTGGCCAGTTGCCTCCCTACCCAGGTAGGCAGGTGTGGCATGAGCCGGGCGATGGCCATTGGCAAGTTGGACCGGGCCAGGACAAGGAAGTTGCAAACGGCAAGCCAGAGGCCCCAAGCGAAGGAAGGAAGGGAAGGGAAGGGGGGAAAGAACCATCGTCGTCGTCCACCTCCACAGACGCCTCTTTTGCACGCCTCACACATCACACACCCCAACCAGAAGGAAAGTGACTCCCACTGTCTTTCCTTGCCGGGGGCCACCAATTTGTCTGTCCCCCCTTTGATGGAGGAGTGAGTGTGCTCTATGATCCATTGCCGCTGCTCCGTTGCCCTTTATAATATCTCTCCCTCCCCTTCCCTTTCGATTCCTTCTCTCTTGTTCTCCATCAACGTCGCCCTTCGTCAACTACAACCTCGTTGTTCTTTACTACCTAATGTAAGTCGATAGTCTTGAGACTTCCTTTCATAGTCGGATCTGCCCTTCCCTTGCTTGCACCTGCACATCACTGGCACCGGCCCGACACTGGCAATCGGCACACACCCGTTCACGATGGAAGTCAACCGCCAACCAGTCGAAACTTCAACGTTCATTCCAGTGAGAGTTGCAACTGGGGAACAGCTGCCGCCACGGATCAGTCGCCGAGCAACGTCGAAAGTGTCGGGTGCCTGAATCACTTCTTCCAAACTCTCAAACCAAACACAGCCAGACCCCACATGATTGTCAACACCATAGCAACAACATCAACACTATTTAACGGCTTCGCTCGCCCTTTGCTCATTATCAGACATCAAAACAAGACTATTTACTGACATCTGCGACAGTAATTTTAGTCACTCTTTCAAAACACAAACCACCCAACCTTCAAAATGAAGTACACTTTCGCTACCATTGCTGCCTTCGCCTCCGTGGCCCTGGCTCAGCCCGCTTTCCTCAACAGCAAGTTCGACGTCCAGGAGGGCAAGCCTTTCACCATCAAGTACTCCGGCTGCGAGGGTGGCTGCACCATCACCCTCCAGAACGGCAAGTCCACTGACACCAAGGATGTTGAGGTCCTGACTGGTAAGTTTTCATGAAATCAATTTGCGCGAGGGCGTCCCTAACAAGCAAACAGCCACCGCTGAGGGCGACTCTTTCACCTTCACCCCCGGCAACCTGCCTTCCGACACCTACAACTTCAAGATTAAGAACAACGAGGACGGTACCATCAACTACTCCGGACAGTTCGCCTACGAGGGCACTGGCACCCTTCCCTCCAAGACCGAGGCCGAGACCTCTGCCGCTGAGACCTCCGCTGCTGAGACCACCTCTGCTGAGGAGACTTCTGCCCCCGCTACCACCGAGGCCACCACCCTCACCACTGTTTCCAAGCCTCTTATCTCTACCAAGGAGAAGACCACCACCGAGGAGCACACCACCATCCACACTCCCATTGCCACTAAGAATGCTACCACTCCCATCCCTACCACCAAGAAGGCCACCTCCACCGGTGCCAGCTCTACTGGGGGTAAGTTCATTTAACTCCAGATGTAACGGACTGTGCTAATATATCCTGCTAGGATCAGAGTCCACTGCTGCTGAGACCTCGGCTGCTGCCACTGGCAGTGCCACCACTGTCCCTGAGAGCGGTGCCGCTCGCATGACCTCATCCCTGGCTCTGATTGCCGGTGCCGTTATGGCCATGGTTTATCTGAACTAAGATATGGGCATGATGTTTATGCATTAGCGCAAGGGAGAAGAGCGGGTTGATGAGTTTCGACTTTCGGTGTATAATCTTCTTTAATGATGCCTCCTTTGATTTCTTTTCGGTTACCCCACGAGGCGTCTGCGGCCGGCGGTTCCCCTGAAGAAGCCGCCTGTGGCGGCTTCTCTGAGTGTTATGAGCGCCAGGTATTTTAGAACTCAATTGGACTCAATGTTGGTCTACCCTGCTACAAATGTTTCCATCGCTTGTCCCTTGTGTGATGTGATGTCAGGTGCTGTGTTGTGTATCACAGTGGTTCGTGCTTTGGCGGATAACGGCTTCATCTTGTCGTGGATGAATTACGTAGGACGTTTGCTCCTTCGTCTTGAATTCCTTACATGATCCTTGGCCGTGGACAAGACGCAGTTATGCCCTTGTCAGTCGTCTGCATTTCCTGTTGGTCATTACAGGTCGCACACGCAGGTACCATATGATCTGCCCTGCTCGGCCGCGGCCCAATTAGTGTTTCAGAATAACGATTTTTTCGACAGGACGAATGAAGATCAGGCTCGTTCGGTTGGTAGGCCGGCAGGCATGCAACCGAGGGGGGAAAGGATTTGGCTGCACTGCCCTGCTGGGTAGATCCATGATGTACCATGTGTTTTGAGATGGGGCTTGGCGGTTTGGGAGATGGCCAGGGCTTTTTTGATCATCTCGGTCGCGTTTACTCGATGCATGAAAGGATCGTCTATGTGGGCGATGATCCGATTCTGTTTGATGGATCGTCGTGCAACATTAACAAGAACAAAAGATGTCACCTTCCAGAGCGGTAATTAGAGGCTCTCTAGGTCAAACACCAGGACCGTGGAAGGATGAGCACAAGGGGACATGGCATGGGGCACTCGCGTGCGACAGGGCTCGGATATGCAACCCACAGGCCTGGCCAGCGAGATTCGGGAGACGGCCGCAGAAAAGGTGCTGGGGAAACAAGAGATGGGGGGCAAGGGATTTGGCGACTGGGACTGGATCGGATCATTGTCGATCGTTTTCTTGCATGTTTGAGAAACGGAGAGAGGTTGTGGGACAGTCTTGTTTCAACATTTGATTTGCCACGAATTGATTCAATTTGATGTCATCTAACTCCATGCTGCCTCCCTTAAGTACAAGTCCTGTGATCCATGATATACATTCCATTCCTAACATTCCATCTGTGGTTGAACAATCTCTGTCAGTGTCTTGGGTATCTTTCGTATAGTGTAAAAAATCCGACCAACAATGAAAAAACGCAAAGTGGAGAGAGACGCAAAAGAATATGCAGTGAATGAAAGCACCTTCTGTCATCTGTGCAAAAGAGAATCATGTAAGTGAAACGTGGAGCCGCGCGTGACAGCAGCTCTAAAGAATCCTTCCGGCTCACGGACTTCATCCTGTCTACCTGACGACATTGCCGTCCTTTCTCTTCACCATGGGATCCTCGCTGATGTGGGAGATGAGGAAGAGCACTTTTTACTTCATCATCTGTCGTCGATTCTTGGCGAGGATCCCAGCAGGTATCGCCATGTCAGCCCATGCACCGATTTCGCAGAGACCGTCCGCGTCACAAGCGGCGGCCGGACTGTAGGTTTCAGAGAGATCCGGAGGGGACATGTCTGTGGCCCGGGTGTTGGACCTCTTGGGGTGATAGCCGGGGCTCATGACACTCGGATGGGACCCCTCGGGACCGTTGTTCTCCATATCGAGGCGGAGGACGTTGGAGGCCGTGAGGTCATGGACGGAGCCGTTGACGGAGACGGAGGCGGGGCGGGTCGTCTCGGAGCCGGCCGGTGTGGAGGCGCCGAGAACAATGGTCCAGCCCTCGTCCATAATGTCTTGATGTTGAAGGGGTTCAGGAGCGGGCGTGGGCTCATGTATCATTGACATATTGAGGCCCGAGGTTGGAGGTGGTGGAAGCTCGTGGCCAAAGCCGACGCCAAAGCCGTTGACTTTGTCTCTATACACGGACTCTGACATCTCGAGGTTATCAAGGATGATGGAGGAGGAGGCCGACGAGGTGGGCTCGAAGATGTTGCTCTGATTGATATTTGCAGAGTCCATGGCTACGGGTTTGAGTTGAGATGTTGAGATGTGTTTGATCAACGGCAGAGGGAGGGCTGGAGAATGATCGACAGAGGTTTGATGTTCTGTGTTGGTTCGGCACAGAAGTGCAGTGGCGTTCTTGATGGGTGGGTGATCAGGGTGGCTGCGGCACAACAAGCCCAAGCACCGACAAGAGTGGAGGGGTTGATGATGTCCAGATAATTCTGTAATGGTAGAATGAGTAGAGAAGTCTAATCATTCTCAAATTTTGGTTGTTGAAGAAAGGTAGGAGAGAGAAGAAAGGAGAGGAAAGGAGGGTGAAGTTGGTCTTTTTGAACTCTCCGAATGCACATGTTGCAGCACACTGACGCAGCCAACCCTCCTCCTTCTCTTTCCCTACTTGGCCCGACATGATCAGAATGGCCAACCAGCAGCGACGTGGCAGCCCATCAACTTCCACCACCAACAGACGACATCCATCTCAGGCCGGTCTCGGGACCGACGCGATGACAGTCACCGGCCCTGGAGCCAACGGAGTGCGGCGCTCTCGCTAATCGCAGACCAATATGATAACCCAAAGACCCTGCATTGGAACTTGCGGAGCGAATCCGGAGCTCAACTCTGGGGAATGGTCTTGGTCGCAGCTCATAGTGGCGTGACTTTTACATACAGAGCCTCCTCTATACCGGTTTGGCCTTAGAACGTCAAGGCGAACGGAGCTATCATTCACCTGCCAGAGCTCCCCTAGCGCTCTCGCCTCACTCTTTCTTTCTCCGAGCGCCCGGTCAGATGGAACAGCTACAGCATGTCACTGATCAAGACATTATCCCCGCGATGTCAACATCCACGTCGTTGGTTGGCGCCATCCGTCGCATGTGCTGTGCCGTGCCGTGCTGCGCTGTGCAACTCGCTTCCTCGGTCTTACTGCTGTGAAGCAAGGGGTTGGCAACGGAGGGCACTCTGTTGGACACCACGCGGGGTTGATTTGAAAGGTTCCCCAAAGATTCCAGCATGAACGACGTGCCCTCGACTCATCCGAGGACCGACAAACCCACGCAAGAAAGAATTGGGCATCTCTACTCCGTATCTTTGGGATGACGAAATGCTCGCGATAGCAATGACGTCGACACCCGACGCCCCGTAGGGCTGGTCAGCTCTCGCTCAGCCAACACGACCAACACGACTCGTTCGTTCACTCTGTTGACATGATATTACGAATCAACAAAAATTAGGAATGCGGAAAAACTCGGCATCAACGCGTCTTCCATCGGCAGATTAATTCGCGGTAAGCACTTACATTGGGCATCTGTTGGTGTTGGCTGGCTTGGCAACGACCCAACGTCCGAGATGCTGTCACGAGGAAGTCGTTTTTGAGCCTCAATCGGTCCCCAATCAGGCAATGGCCGACAGGCATGAACCACACGGAGGGGAACTGACAGGTGAACCCTTATGGTTATCGCCTATTAGGTTTGTTTTCTCTTTCCCCATCCCGTAGCTGTGAGGGGATATCAATACGTGTTTCGCCACCTCAGAATGACGCACCCAGGACTCGACAACCTTTGTTACACTGTTCTACGACATAGGATGTCGTGTCCTACCCAATAAGAAAGCGATCAGTTGGAAAAACTGGAATCTAACTCCTTACAGTAGGTAGGATCCCCAGGACTGTCACTGAGTCCTGCTGCACCGTTGTTTCACAGACATCCAACAAGCCACCATTCCGATACTCCGATACATTCTCTATTATTCGCGCGTCTATGAGTCAATCGCTGTCTATTATCCTACCCAAACCCCTGGTTAATACCGCGTACACGTGATGCAGTACATCATCGTCGACTTGGTTGGCCAATTCCAACCACAAAGCTCTCGTCTTACATGCAGCATTCAACTGGACCTGGTCTTCTCCCCTCAAGGATCGCCCACTACCGCCCAATATGACGAATCTCTCGCCCGGCGTCTACTACAGCGCGGTTAAATCATGTTTATCCCTCATGGAGGGTGACTCACATGACCGAGCTCATTATGAAACGCATGAGGTCAGATCTCAAAGCTTCGTATGAGAAGGGCAATACCTCGAGCAGGGTCGAAATCAACCATCGCAGCACCTCCCTGGTTATGGTGTGGCCGGTGTTCGACTCCCCCAGCTTCACATGGTAACCTAGCTGAAATAGCATCATCTGGGCTTCCTTTGCGTGCGAGCGGGAGACCTTCTCATCGTTGGACGAGTGCATCAATACGATGGGCGTTGCCGTGCTGAATTCCTTCTCGTACTTGTCCCGGGCGTGTTCAGTCCATTCGAATTGACGGAGGAAGTGTGCCACGCGTTGGTGCCGTGCTTCTACTGACTGGTTGGGTAGCTCAAACACGGGAGTTGGGGAGACGGCTTGTGGGAAGGGCTGTTGCTGCTGGTTGTTTTGTATGCTGAGCATGCGAGGGTCAACCAAGCCGTTGCCCTGGCCAAGAGCCATGTCTTCGATGCCGCCTTGGCTGTGTAGGTTGTTTTGGGAGAAGGGAGGATCAGGAGTCAAGATCTTGCCCAGCGTCGCAACATCCTTCATGTCTCTGACAAACGGCATCCACCCCCCAAATCCGATGAAGCCTCCAATGGGTTTCTCCATCTCGAGGAGCGTCATCATGGCGACGGCGCATCCCTTGCCGATGCCTCCAAGGAAGACATTCTTCCTACCGATGAGTCGCGCTTCATCCTCAACCACCATATCGACCTCCTCCGCTGCGTACATAACGTGCCTCCACTGGTCTAGGCTCGCCGCCTCGCCGCACTCTAGCTGGGGGTGCTCGAGGCGGTACCAGTCTCGTCCTCCATTGGGATCCGAGAACGGGCCATCTGGGAAGATGAACCGGGTTCCTGGGGCGACCTGGCGGATTAGGGTGGGGAGGAGGGCGTTGCAGAGGGCGCGCTGGAACTCTGCCCCTGAGGAGCCGCGATCGTGGAGGAGGATGAAGGTGGAGTTGTGTATCGTTGCGGGTTCGACCACGTTTCTCTGTAGTTTCTGGCCCTCCATTGTGAGTTGGAGGTAAGTTGGTGAGTGTCTGTAATGACTTGATAGCAGTACTTGCCTTGCTAGGTTTATGTAGTTCTGAAGTGATATTCACACTTCCTGTGAGTAGCAATATGGCTGCTTGGCTTGTGGTGAATAAAGGCCGGGAACAATTGGCTCTTATACCTTTGTTGATGAATGGATAGGTAGGTGGGTTGTAACAACGCCAAATATGAAGGGTTCATTGTTCACATTGACATGATGTCGAGTGAACTCGAGTATAACCCGAGAGTGATTAATAGCATCACATCAGAGGCAGTACAATGATAGAATAGTTATGAAACCAAGACCCAGAACAATGCCATTTTTGAACCCCATCCTTTGTCCCATACCTGTTCGTATTCAAGAGTATGCTTGCTTGCTGTACAGTTATGCCCTAAACGAAAACAATGCTACCTAGTTAATACTCCTGAAGCTTCTTTCAACTTGCGTCAACGTCTGTGCCGATCGACCCAAACGCGCCGTTGCGTTCCCTCCTTTCGGCTTCCATACTCGCCGCCATGCTTCCCTTTCGCCGTAGACCAGGGGCCTTGAATTTCCTCACAACCTGATACGATCTGTCTAGCTCATTCTCAACAGCGCATCTGATCCTTAGGGCCGCCACAGCTGGCCACACGCTTCTCTCGCCCCTCAGGATCCAATAATCGAGCGTCTCCCGAGTGGGTGTCTCCAGCAGTCGTACAAAGTCTCCCGCCGTCACCTCAGGCACTAGCACCATGGAAGCGGCCGGAACTTGCTCGTCGACTAGAAAGCGGCGGATGCCTGCAGGCAGTAGGCGCAACGTATCTAGCTGGCGCAGGCGGTGTCTTATTTCCAGCCCTACCATACGAACCAGAAAGGCAGACACCTGAGTCGTCTTGCTCCTAGCTTCGACAAGGGACGGCCCATGCATGTCGGACTGGATAAAGGGAATGAGATACGGTCGAGCTTGGCTGACGATAAAATGGTTGACGTTGAATAGCTCAGCAATACGTCGAAGAGGCGAGTCTCTGTCAGAGTAGGACGTGTGCGTCCAATGTCGAAAGTCGATTGTGTTGGCCGGCGCCCAAGGAACAATGTTCTCCTGAGCATCCTTGCAAAGCATAGTTGTCTTGCGACGACCATATAGTGATGGCAAAGACGCATTCGATGCCACGGCAGCCGTCCAGATCAACTAACACAAGTTAGTATTGGCAGAAGCAGGGACTCAACGGCATCAACCTACCACATTAGGCGCAGTGAGGTAATTGAGGAGCGTGGGAACACCTCCTTGACCCTCTGTCGCTACCGTAATGTTCAAGACTCTCTTGCTGCGGTTATAGGCCTCTTCAAACGTTAGATCGCCAACGTTGGCCCTCACACACTCCTCCAGGACAGTGACATCAAGGAAGTAACCCTCTTTCGAGAAGCGACGGATCCTTCTAAGTAGGGTTTGCCATCGTGAATGGAAACTCGAAACGTTGCCATTCTCAGTCCCAGTCTTGGGCGCAAACGCCGACAGGTCGATACCATCACCACTCAAGACAGCAGGCAATTCATCCTCTGTATGGACCGCGACGAGGGCCGCGATCAGGGCGCCTGTAGCTGTGCCGGTGATGATGCGTGGGAGCAAGCCGCGCAAGAACAGAGCCTTGACGACGCCCAAGTGGCACATGCCAAATATGGCACCGCCCTGTAGCACCAGCGTGCTCCTCCCAAAGGCCTGCCTCGTGTCATGGATGCAGTCCAGCTTCATCTGCGTCGTCAGAGACGGCCCAGTTCCATGGATGGCCGACGGACTGGTCGGGAGGGCGCGAATGTCCTCGACTGCCTCGGCGATCTGTGTAATGTATTCATCGATAAGGTATTTCGTGCCGGCAAACGATCGGTTATATAGTTTGGGCGACGTGATATTCCCCAGGTTTCTTACGAGACCGGATCGTAGGAGGTTGACGAGCTGTTGAAAGTTGCCATCTTCGCGGGCGCTCGCGAGGGAGTCGAGTCGTTCTGCAATGAGTCGCCAGTCATAGTACTTGGACGCCGGGTTATTCCTCCTGTCGACGTGTTAGCAGCAGTCGCACAAGCATCACCAAGAACAAGTACCATAGATCAAGACCAAGAAGATTGTCCAGGTGTAGTGCAGCTTCTTCCCAGTCCTCGAAAGCCTCGGCAGTGCGCAAGATGTCTAACCACAGCTCGACGGGGCTCTTGCGCGAGTACCAGCTGCGCAGCTTCTGCAGCGACATGGTCAGAGACGGGATGCTGGTATACGCAGGCCAAGGGGAAGGGGTGTTACCCTCTGCCAGAAGCTGGCAACGTCGACGACGACACCCCAGACGGCGACAACTACCCCCATTATCGTTGCCGAGGGACGATCACAAGCACCATCGAAGAGGGCCGAAGGGGTCGGTTCGAGCGCGGCAGGAGGATCACGCGCATCTAACTAGGTCATGGTCGTATGGGGAGAGAGCAACAATGCCACATGCAAGACTATTTTTGGGCTTCAAGCCTAGATACCAAGAGGCGATAGCAAAGTTTTTATAGGATAAGCTTATGGTTGTATTCGTTGAACTGAACTGTTGTTGTTGGGTTCGTGGAGCTCTCCCCGCCCTTCAACAAAGTGCGAAGCTGGACGCTAATTTCAGGCATGTGATTGCCAATGAGATCACCAGACTCCAGACAATCTCCGGCATTTTGCCCATAATACCCATGCCAGGCGATGGCGCATGTGCTCAGTTTGACATCTATAATGCAATTGATACATATAGATACGCGAAAAGGATCAACCAGCCCTGCTACAGATATGCAGAACATCCTCACGAGTTGTCGCGATGCGCCAGCCAAGAGTTGCTGCCGATACACAGCCAATGATGGCTTTGGGTCACCCAGAGATCCGAGATTATCATGTATTATCAGAGTACAAACCGTCTCCTGTGCAGCTATCATCTTTAGGAGCTTTGAAACTTTCGCCAAACAAGATATAAAAATCACCTCCTAGTCATCATCGTCATCAATGACATTCCTCCGACGAGCTCTACCAGCCACCTGTTCGACATCACTGCCCTCAGCATCCTCATCGGGGCTGCGGTCTCGGGTTCTCTGCCTCTTTGAACGAGGCTTTTCGTCCTCATCCTCGTCCAGCAACTCCTCTTCGTCATCGTCGTCGGCCTGGCTGTCCATCTCTTCAACGTCACTGCCAACGATAAAGCCGTCGTCGAGATCGTAGCCCTCGTGTCGCCCAACGGCCTCGGCAAGTTCTTCGTCCGACTCGGACTCGCCTCTCCGTGGCTTGGGCCTGGATGAGCCGGGGGCACCACGCTTGCGGGATGACCCAAATCGGCGTCCTCCTTCAAGTTCTCCAATAGACAGGTTTCCGCGTCCAGATCGACCATAGCCGCCGTCCATCTTGGCCGCAGCATTCTCGCGTCGTCGCTGAGCCTTCATTCTCTCCTTCTCAGCCAGCTCGGCCTGCTTCTTTTGGAGTTCTGGGTCGCGGGTGGTTCGGATGATCATATCGCCGCCTTGTGAAGGCTTGCTGGCTTGTGCCATTCGCTCGGCCAGAATGGACAACGCATCGTCACCCACAGCCTTGTTGGGACGGACATTGTACTGCTCTGTGATGTGGCCAACTGTCATGAGAAGGTTGCTGTGCAGTTCGGCCGCGGCAGCGTAGTAGTGACCGTCGTGGATTTCATTGTAGGGCTTGTCGGCTGAAGGAGCCAATGCCTTCTTCTGGACTTCGTAATGCTCGCCGCCAATAGAGATTGTGACGGATCCGTCGCTCCAGCGGAAAATGTTGGTGTTGCTCTTGAGTTCGCCGGTGCTGTGATCTCTTCGAACTCGAGCGACGTGTTTGGGGTGTTGAGCCTTGGCGTTGGCCAGATCGAACTCGGTCGGCTGGAAGGTGTCCGGGTCGTATTCTTCGGGCATTATCTTGACAAACTTGGGAATACGCATTACTCGAAGCTAAGGGGGTGATTAGCGATCTGTATTTGATGAGGCGCATGACGAGACTTACCGCGCCATCCTTGGGTTTCGGAATTCTATGCCGATACGTCTTGACACCCATGACAACTCGATCCCTTGTCTGGAACTGCATCTGATCGTCATAGTCATTACGATAGCGCGCGTAGCTATCTCCTTCGGGGTCTGAAGCGAGGTCATCGTCGTCGAGGACGCGCTCCTTGGTGGACGCAACATCCTCATCACCCTCGTCACCGAAAAGGTCATCGCCACCCTCGTCGATGGGGTCAATGGGATCTTCTGAGTCAGACATTTTGCAATGTGAGCTTCAGGGAAAGTAAAGTGCCCGGTAAGAGATGGAGTTGGTGGAAAAGGCGAGCTGGTGCTGGGCGCGCAAAGCGAGAGTATGAAGTCGCGAGGCTTTAGTCTTAGTATAATTTAGCGATCTAGGCCTGAGGCTGACTATTCACTAGCCACAGCTCAGCCACGCACTCTGGGCAGCAGCGGGTCAGTGGAGAACAAACGCGACCAAACCTCAGGAGCAGCAGATTTCTCGCCTATGTTCCCTAAAATAGAATAGCGTGCCTCAGGTGGCCTGCAAAGCCAGCCGCAGGAGGAGCAAGGGAGCTTTGAGTGAGGTTCAGGTTCAGAGGGACCACCCAGGACCACCTCAGGAGCAGGAGCAGAGGGAAAGACCCGCGTTAGCGTGTGGCGCCTTTTGGGCAGTTACGGGGTACGTAGCCGCTCCGCTCCGCTCCATGCAGTGCTGTACCTTTACCAACGCCGACACCGACACCTCAAAAACCCCCTTTCTCGAACTGACGCTGCTGTTTGATATTCGATATTGAACCTGACATCGCGCAGCTTCGTCCAGCGAAAGAAGGACTTTTGATAGCGCCTTCCCCTCCTCCGACAGCAGCAAAAGACAACGCCCTCGATTCGCACGGCAACAACCAGCGACTGCATTGCAACCTGCACCCCTTGCGGTCTCCCTCTCACGCTCCCTCTCACCCCGCCTTTCTGCCAACCTACCTTACCTACTGCAACCATGTCGAATCTTTTTTCCGGCATGTAAGTACCCAGCATTCTTTGTTTGTCTCTGTCTCTAGTCTTTGTCCTGTCTGCTTTGTCTCCGCTGGGCGTTTTGCTGCTGCTTTATCTGAGGTTTCTTGCATCATGCCTCATGTTTGACGCATGTCATGAAGAGAGGAAGAGAGACATCAACGAGTGAGATGTGAGAGGCACAGGCAATGTTATTGCCCGCTGACCTCAGCCTCGTACTTCTTGTGCAAGTGCAACATCGCCAATCCATGGGTTTGATGCATTCAACCTTCTTGACGATGGCTCGAAGCCAATCATGCCGTCCTTATCTGGCGTCGCGGGGCAACTACCGAGTGTTTGAGTGAGGTCAGGTCTGGCTGTCCACAACCGAACTCTCACCATGTGGTTCCCTAGTACGACATCCAAGACATGTTTTCTCAGCATGGCCATGAGCGGCCCGACGCCGTTCCAGGCGTTCCCGGTCGCCGTTCACACTGTTCCGAGGCATGGGAGTCTTTATCAGCCATCGATGGCGATATTGCAAATCTCAATGTCGAGGATTTGGCATGACGCAGAGCCTCTGACCATATATCATGGCGGCTTTGCCTCCCTAACAAGGGCGCCACGGAACCACGGCCGCCTTCTCCAAACGAGGCGCTTTGCTGCAGCCGTCGTTGGCGGGCTTAGCAATGTTTCAACCAACTGCACCCGTCTCAGCATAGTGTGCTGCCACCTCAACCCATCCTGACTCTGCCATGCCAGCTTGATCCGGCCTCTCTTTGTTTTCTCTTCACTCTCTGGTCTCGCACTGACAAGACTTGTATAGTAACGCCCGTTTCCGAGGCGGCTCAGCTAAGCCCTCTGGCCCTCAAAAGAGCCCGACCTCGTCCACTGCTAGCCAGCCGCCACCTCCAGAGACGTCATCTCAAGGGAGTCAATCCTCGGCGAGCCTGGCCCCGAAAGTTCCTCCTCTGCCCAACTCTCCTTCGCTCGCCCAGACCATCGGCATGGATGAATCCAGTGGTGCCGTGGCCAGCGACGACCTCATCTCTGCTTATCACCTGCCTCGACCTCTCCCCCTCTGGCTCAATGCCCAGTATGCCAAGCACATCGTCAAGGGAAATTTCATGACCCTCAGCGCTCGACCCAAGACTGTTGAGCAGGGTGAATGGATTGCGCACCAGGGTATGCTGCTTCACGTGACACCGCTTCTTTACATATGCTAATTCATATCAACAGTTGTTGAGCATTATCGCAACCTCTGGAATTTTGTCCGGGTGCTTCATGAAAAGGAAGATGATGGAAGCTCCATCTGCAACTCGACTTCCTGCCCACGCATGTCGGCTGGAGCGTAAGTGGTCATTTGCCTAGGTGGTTCATTACATATACTCACACTACCAGGAACCACTCCTTCACTTGGCTCAACAGAAATAGGGAGCCCGTCGAGCTTCCAGCCTCTGAGTACATGACACTGATGCAGCGATGGATCTCGGGCAAGATTGACGACACCAACATCTTCCCGACCGACCCCTCTGGAGTCTCGTACTCACACAATTCCGCCATCACCACCACACCTCTCTCCCAGCTGACCAACCCCGGTGAGCCCGAATGGATCGGCAAGCGATCGGGCTTCCCTGACAAGTTTGTCGACATTTGCCAGATGATCTTCCGACAGATGTTCCGCGTCTACGCCCATCTGTACTGGGCTCACTTTACCGAGCCCTTTTACCACCTCAACCTTGAGAAGCAGCTCAACAGTTGCTTCTCTCACTTTGTGCTGACGGCTACTGCCCTGGACATGTTGAAGCCTGCTGAGCTTGAGCCCATGCAACCTCTGATCGATCTCTGGGCGGCCAACGGAACCTTCCCACCGGAGTCCAAGGCTTACGAGTATGCCAATCTCCGGGCGGGCGAGCGTCTTCTGCAGCTGTCCGGCGTGAGCCAATAAACCAGGGCGCACGTTGTCATAGCCGTAGCGGTGGGGTCGTACGGGAAGCGGGAGGAAGCAGAGCATCCGTCAAACGGATCAGGGAAGATGTGTACAATCTTGGAGCCATGTATCGAGACTGGCATTTGGAGGATCAGAAGTGAAAGAAGGAAGGGCAAAGCATATTTCTGCAGGAACAGAGAGCTGCGGATTGGAGTTTCGGGGCCTCGACAAGCTTGAGCTTCGTATAGGAGTTTGGCAGTAGAAGGCGAGATGGAAGATGGAGGAAACACGCAAACCGGCCGGCGGCTTTGCGTCTTTTTTGTATCATCAGCACTTCGAGGCTTGCTTCGATCAAATACGAATTGATTTCGCTCATTGGAAACAAGGACTCTCAGCAAAGAAAGATGGCGGCCAAATTCCACGATTATAACCCCCAGTCCCCATACGCCATTCACACAAGTTCGTACACGCATATCAAAATCAGAGATGAATGCCTCAACCACCCTCGGGCTGCTCACTGCATTGCGCGCCCACCTCGCTGATCTTGTATTCGACAATGATGGGCTGGTTCTCCTCAACGATGAATCTGCCGGAACCTACATAGAGCTTGTCTTGGAGAGGCTTGAGGCCAGAAGCGTTTGTCTCGAACCTAACCTGGACGACTATGGACATCAGCCAGGGGATTGACGAGTATACCAACAGACACATGGCAAGGATGAGGTATTCAAGTGGCATCTCAAAGCGCAAGGCTGACGGGAAGGACAAACTCACAGGCGTTCCCAAACCCCGTGGTAGTAGCATTGCCGTCCCCACGGATGACCCTGCCCTCATCACCGGCCACCCCGACGACACCGTTATAACTGAAACGAAGCATGGCGCCCGACATCGAGTCCCTCGCGACGCTAGAGACATCGAGGCGGACTCTCTGGCCGTCCGGGTCGCGGCGCAGAAAGTCGCTCCCGTGGACAAAGGTGGCCTCGAGAGGGGGCTCGTAGCCAGGTTCGGAGACGAGGGTGCCGAGATTGGGGACGAAGGGGATGTTGAGGAGGTCTGGGTTTATGACTAGGGGAGCGTCGATGTAGATCTGTTCGCGTAGTGTCAGATAAAAAGGGGTTAATATCACGAAGCCGTAGACATACTTGTGCTGTAAACGCAGGGATGAGGATGGGGAAGTTGGCAAACTTCATGTTGAGAACCGCCAGTCTGTCGTCGAGCGTTCGATATCATTCTCCTTTTCCCACGTTTGATGGGGACTGAAAAGGGGGGGATTTGATCACCAAGGGGGGAAGGCAATTCGTTTGTATTTTTGATTCTCCCCCTTGTTTTCGCTTCTCGGCTCGCGATGTTTTCCTTTCGGCGAAGGGAGTTTTCCCCCTCCCCTCCTTTCTCCGGCGCCCGAAGCCCGTCCCCGTCGTCGCATTATATCTGTCTCTCTCTTTTTTTGCTCCGAGGCCGCGACGACGGGAAGGGGTGTCATGTCTTGTGTTCGCGTGGGAAAAGAAAGTACGTGCCCCCAAGCGAAAGGGGCGGCGTCTCGGTTGCATGGCACACAATGCGGCACTGGGGGGAAAAGGTCGAGAGTATCTACCGAAGGGAAGCTTTGTCGTTGTTCAAGAGCGAGCCTCTCTGTGTCACCGAGGGACGGACACGGGCGATGGGCCATGATGATAGGGTAGGCAACAACGCGGGGGATTCGTGGGGAAGAGGTTCACAGGCGATCTGGTGAGAGGCAGCATCACACATCACAAGGAGTTACGATCACGAACAAAGAGAGACTTGGGATATGAGATGGTGTACGATGATAGACCTTTGCCCAGCGACGGCAAGACAACGAATCAATGTCTCGTCCCGCAGCGTCCCTTGGACGACCGAAACCGAGTCCATGGAGTTGACCATCTCGACGACTCCAGGCAAGGGGATGAAGATGGGCTCGAATAGCCATCGTGGGTGACTCACGAGTCACCATGGCACAGATCTTGGTCGCGGCGCAATACAACGATACCACAGCCAGGCCCAACCATCTAGTCTGTCGTTGGGCCTTACCGACAGTTGTCGATATTATTTTGGTGAGTCTTGGTCGGTTTCAGCCTCTCCTCTCCTCCCTATCCGTGGATCTCTATGGAATCGGTTCGAGGTGGCTCATCGACAAGTTGACGTTGCGTCCCTTGTGCACAACCAATTACCGGGCCGGCCATTGCGGCACTGCAACCAACCCCATGGACTCTTGGACTGGCAGAACGGCTAGAACACATGGAATCTCAGGCCACACCTCGGTCCGAGTGTCGTGATGGGATGGTCATGTTGAATGAATGTGGTGTCAAGGAAAATCTCCCCCGTCGGCGCAAGCGAGGCTCATGCTCACCTCTTCGTAACCAGCATGGAAGACAGCGATATTCCGGGAGCCACATCCACATCCGCATCGTACCTTTGAAACATGGAGCAAGATCCTGCTGTCCGCAAATAGGTCCCGCAAAGCTATCGCTGGATCTCGGGGGGGCTGTCGTCCGTCCTGTCCCGTAGAGGTCGGGGATCCCCCCGCTTACTTCCATGGCAGTCTTTGACATCGGAAACTGCCCCAGCCTAGCAAGCCACTTGTTTCAGAAGTACGACCAGTTGTGAGGTCGAGTGGCCACGGAGCTTCTCCAGTCACCCGGATCCCTGGACCCCAGATGTGGCGGAGCACTGCTCACTGCCCTTCACCGCCGGACTTTTTTTCTTGGGCTTGAGCAATAGGGTAGTATACGTCGAGACCCAACATCATGTTGCAGAGAAGGAGAGAGAGCAAGATGGACCCCCGATGCTGCAGTCAGAGAGAGTGTGGCTTCCAAGAATGGAACCTTTCCACGCCCAGCTTCGTGTTGCACCCCAAGATAGATGTCAGGAACCACCTTTCCTGCAGGTGTAACTTGATCTGAGAGGATCATGCGGATGATATCATGGATGGCTGCTTTACGAACTTGGGTTGCATGTTTGCCGAGTGCATGCTTCCGTGGACAAGAAGCAAAGTTTCAGATCTTGCAGTCCATCATCGTCCATCTCGACGCCGTGGCTTCAATGTCTTTTTGTATCGTGAACGGTGTCTCAGATTCGCAAATAGAACTCCATTTGGGAGTGTAATTGCACTTGCCAGACCAAGGCTAGTCCTGTTGAGGACTGCCTCGTCCGTCTAGACCTTCAAGAGAAGCACAGCATGCCCAGTCGTCGTCGACATGCCGTGGGCGTCATTGCAGATCCCCGGCTGCGACATGGTGGTCACACAGTTGACGTTTTCCAGGTGACCAAGATTTCTGTATCATGATCAACTCTATGTCTCCATGGCTATGTCCCCATGGCATCTTCCGGCCAACTTGGAATCCCTGCGGTCCAGGTTCGAGTAGTTTTCAGTTGGTATCCGTCCAAGTTTCAAGAGTCGAAATAAGAGGTGGAGTACTATAGGTCAAGCATCATCCTCAAACGAAAATAGGGTCTTCTCTTGGGTTTGATCCTCCCCTCCAGCCTTTCGGTCCACAGCCTCGCGAACTCGCATGACGACTGCCTGGTCAAGGCTGGCGTCGTCGAGGCTTTCTCGAACAGTGCTTGGAAATGGTAATCTCCAGACAGGTGGATCGTTATGCTGAAAATTTCTTCACCTTCACATGTGGGCGCGGGTCCGAACTCTTGTCAGGGATACCCAGACCGCATATTCGGAACGCGAGTTTTTCCTCTTGGCATGGGTGAACTCTCTCCTAGCGACACTGGGACTGGGAATCCTGTTGTTGCTCGACCTGTGTATGGTCCAGGGTGGTCTGACCCCATTGACATCAGCTTTCACATGGAAGCTCCCAGTTGTAAGTGAGTTCTGGGCCATGGGGATCCTCACTAGGATGTAGGAGGGGATTGGGGACTGTCCAGGGTCCAGGGTCCGAGTCATCCTGATACCAAACCAGACTTGCTGTTTATGGAAAGAGTTTCGGAGGTTTCGAGGCTGCGTCATTGCAAAACATCCAGCCTTGGCCGGAATATCTCGTAGGTAGGTCAGACAAGATAATACCAGATAGACGTCATGGGTCATTGGGATCAATGCTGCCTGCACCAGGTCAGGAACCAGAGACTGGATGCCTCTTTGAAACCGACATGACCGATCATGGCAAAGTTCTGCGTCGGCGGCGTGGGGGCCAGCGATTGCGGCCGAGAGTCAGAGTCATAATGGCGGTATCAGCAATGCTCGCCAATGAGTGGACGAACTGTGATTGTTGGGCAACGACTTCGGGCGGCGCTCTACCAAGAGGATTGTGAGTAATCATGTTAGTGCGGTGATGAAGAAGCCATTGAGAGCAGCTGCAGGCCCCTTCTTGTCAATGCGGCCGGCCTCGATATGTGATGAGGCTCTGGGGATGTACAAGACGCAGCTCTCGGTAACCACAGGATGGGTTCGAGAAGACCCGAGAGAAAGAGCACAGCCCACTCGATGGCCGAAAATGGCCAAAGAGAACCGCGTAGGGAGCAAGCCTGGCTACCTGGTTGCTTGGACAGGCAATCTTGGAAGCACATGGGCATGTCGAGAACGGCGCGGACCCAACCAAGATCAGCCCTCTGGGCAGCCAGGGCAGCAGAGACGGCTCGCCTCACCAAAGTGATTGGATGTGATGGCAGCTTGGGCCGTTTTGGACGGCGCCGGCCGTTGACCCAACCTGACCCTGCCGGGACATGATCCGAAGGGGCCAGGTGGTGACAGAAATAAACGCACACCTCTTACAGGAGCATTGAGGGTCTTGATGATGCGCCTGATGTCGTTAGCAGACGGTTTAGCTAAAATGAAGGGGAAACAAGACGAGTCGGTGAGTTTCGACAAGAGGAGTGAGGAACAAGTCATCAAGTTGAGCCTATACCGCATCGTCAAGCGTACTCATTGAGGGCATTCGGGGCCGATCTGCAGGTCGACTCTTTGTGTGTGGTGTTTTCTTTCGGGTGCGGGCCCGGAAGTGAAGGGTTCTCTGGGTTCGAGGCATGGATCGAGTCGCACACCGAGCTCCAAAACCCCAAAGCCATGACGCTAGAGCATCTAGGATCCGTTCGTAGAGGAGCTAGTCAGCAGGAGCAGGGGTAAGCAGGGAGACGAGGAGCCTGACTTTTTCCTCTGGTCGCTCTGGAGTCTGGAGAGGACGCGCACGCGTGACGGGTCGGGTCCCATGAGAAACACACCGACAAAACAAAGAGCTCGAGGTAGACACCATGGCCGGCCCATATGCGGCCATGAAGCACAGTGGAGCCGTGAGATCAGGCTGTTGAGCCTAGTGGTTAGACGTAGGACAGGACAGACAGGGAGAGGGCGTGCGGACGTGCGTGCGTACGCATCATGTACGCGCACATGTGGG